CTCTCTTTCTCTCGTGCTCGCTGGACCGATGGTGGTGGAGGCAGCAGCGGCGGCACCCTTTGATCTCTCTGACCACGCCCCCTTTTTTCATTTTTTCACTCCTTAAAAGGCAGATGGACAAAGTGTATTGTAAAGTGGGCAGCGCGCCGTAGAAGACAGCGGCAGAGGAACGACGTCAGGGGAAAGAGAAAGGCTATGCTGTAGGTGAAGCTGCTGGCTCCGTGTCCAGTTACAATTATTAAGGACTCTTCGTGCCTTCGTGCAGGAAGAAGGAAGAAGAAGAAGAAGACGAAGACGGAGGTTAGAATCCGGCGAATGCTCCGCTAATTATCCGATCCCCGCGTCTCCGGACTAATGGGTCGGCAAAGAGGGGAAAAAGAGAGGGAAAAAGAGAATGAGAGAGAGAGAGACCACCGACAATATCCAATTGATCATCCGACAATCCTTTCTGATGAACGAGGGAACTTCCTATCTTGTAACGTGAAAGGAAAATCCTCTTGAAATCTTATTTCGTTATCGTCGACGAAATTTATTGTTTACACGTTTGTAAGAACGGTACTATACTATTACGTAATAACACCTAGATATATATATATATATATATATATATATATATATATATATATAATTTTCAACGAAGGTATATATTTTTGTTATATATATAGGTTGATTATAAAATAATTGATTTTAAAACAAGATACGAATGTCGAAGACAAAAAACATTACAAATATTAATGATAGATAAACGATACGAAGGGATAGAAATGTTCCTCCTTTTCTTTTTCAGTTATTTATGCAATTCCATATAAGCCGTCGAACCGATCGGTTCTCTATGGTATTTACTACATACTACATAATATGTACATCGTACAAAGAAAGAAAGAGAAAAAGTGAGAGAAAGAGAGAGAGCGAGTCTTTATACGAAATAACGAAATATTTCTCACGTTTATTTTATTTTTACCTTTAGACACTACTCGATCTACAACGCAACATGCAAATACACAGAGTAAGTATGTAAGTACTTATACTATATTTATAAAGGACGCAACGAAAACTTTCGAATAATATATTTTTTAGATTATACTAAAATTTAACGACGAATGAAAAAAAAGAAGAAAAAAAAAATTAATACATCATATATCCAAGTAAAAATGATAAAGATAGAGTCTAACGAAGAATCTAAAAAAAGAATAATAATGTTAAGTGATAAGTAAATGATAAGTAAACGATTACGTTTAAATACATCTTATTGGCTACTCGTCGACATTCGATTACTTTCCATTAGAATCACGAAATCATCATTGACTATGACAATATTAGAAAATTTTCTTAATAGTTTCGATCCGTCTCTTGTATAAACTTACGAGGATGATGCTAATGGCCGAACGATTCGCTAATGAATTCCCGGCACTGTTTGCCGGCTATTTATTTGGAGCATCATCAAATATACTGCGTACCCTCGGTAATTGGTTAATAAAACCCCGGAAGGGAGCTCTCTTTCCGGCGTGATTAATTGCGGCCGCGAGCGATTCTCTTCTCGTTTCGAGGCTTGGCCAACGGCCCGCCATCACCGTCACCTCCCTCGTCTCTCTTCTTCTTCTTCTTCGCGAGACTATTCTCTCTCTCTCTTTCTCGCTCTCGCTCTCTCTCTCTTTTTCTCTATCTCTCTCACTCACTCTTTCTGCGTATAGTTTCTCTTCTTATCGTTTTGTATCGCCTTCACGCTTTAAAGAAAGAGTTCAACGTCGCTTGAAACAACTTCATTAGACCGTTAGATCGTTAGTCCATCGCAAAGAAAGGAATGAAAAAAAAAAAGAAAAACAAACAATAAAGAAAAAAATAAGAAGAAAAAAACATATACGAAGCATCGTACTTCGTATCTTGATAAGACGACTCTTTGTATCCGTCAATATTTTATATATTCTCTCGAAGATTCGTGAAATTCTTCTATCGTCCATTTTTTTTTAATCTTTTTCGAACAAGTCCCGATTAATGGTAGAGAGTATTTGAAATGGAACGATGATTGTTAGATCAACGTTTACTCCTCGTTGTTTGTTGTCGATCAGAAAAAAGTGATCTCCATTTACTTCGTAGTATATATATACGTACATATGTTCGTAACTGTAGTCGGTGAAATTAATTTTTATATCGTCGATTATAAAATTAAAGAAAGTATTCAAGTATCTGTTAAGTAAAGAATACTTATATAAATAAACACGTATTTATATTTTTACGACTGATTTATTAATATGAAATCGATATAATATTATCTTGATAATAGATATTTATTATTCTTTCCAAATATCGGATGCATGTATATTTATTTATAAAAATGTTCGTATTTGTCTGTTTGTATGCGTAAATACGTACGTGTATCTGTATGTGTATATATGTGTGTGTATGAAAGAGAGAGAGAGAGAGAGATAGAGAGAGACAAAAAGAAATGCAGTTTGATATCGTTCGTATACTAAGAATGTGCGACAATGACGTTGCCCGGAGATGGACGGTGTCGGTAGAGGGTGAATGTTTATACCTAAGCGTTAAAATTGCAGAATAGCGTGGCCCATTGTACGGTGGATCACGCGGTCCGAACTGTCTCGAAGCATTTCGACGTTTACGGCGTCACGTGATTTACGGTTTATTTATGCCACGGACTCTTTGTAATAATAGTAACCAGTAAACGCCTTCGAGAAAGAAGAGAGAGGACAGAGAAAGAAAGACGAAGATGAAGAAGAAAATGAGAGAGAGAGAGAGAGAGAGAGAGAGAGAACGAGAGAGAGAGAAAGAAAGAGAAAGAGAGAAAGAGAGAGAGAGAGAGAAAAAAAAGAAGGGACGAAGAAGAAGAAGAAGAAGAAGTGGGAGGGGTGAAGACGATAAGCGAAAGGAATTGCGCTGCCTCTCTTACGAACAAACGACGGCCATTTTAAGAGGCCCTTAACTCTTTAGTGCTCCTGGGAACAACGGCAATCTCCATATAAAATTCGATTCCCGGCGTTGAGTGCTCGGAACCCACCGAGATGAGGAGTCAGACTCCTCATCCGTGATGAACGTAGAGACGCAAAGGGCGTGTCCCTTTCCGGATGCATAAAAGTTGCACTAAGTAGCACAGTAACAATGTGTTTAAAGCGCATCTTATTTAACTCCCTTGTATATTACCATCGACGTTTTAATTGTACGATCTTTTCTCTCTGTCTCTCTCTCTCTCTCTCTCTCTCTCTCTTTTCATCGAACTTACTTCGAGATTCTTTGCCATTGTATGCAAATATTTTATATAAAAAAAAGAAAAGTAAAAGAAAATCATATTCCTTCTGTCTCTTAAAAAAATATCGATAAAATCGTTTTTCCTTTTTTTTTTTTAGTTTGTCTACCCTCTTCTCCTTCGTTAATTAAATTAAATTTAAAAAAATACCTTCAGAGGAGGAGAAAGAAGAAGAAGAAGAAGAAGAAGAAAAAGGAAGAGAAGGAAGATGAAAAAGAAAAGAAAAGAAAAAACAATCTCCCCGCGGCTAATTTCCAATTTTCAAGAAAGATACTCGGAAGTCAAGTATAAAACGTTCCATGGCCGGGTCCCACACATTGTAGTCTTTTTGTTAAACAGAATTGCCGCTTAGCTGGAGAACGGTAGAAGGTGCTCGTTAGAGGTACCGTGTCTTAATAATAACGATATTCGTACTCGTTCCTACCGCGGAATATTCCACCTGTCACATACTTCCTTCTTAACTGCTTGCCGGTTCGCTTATTAGAGCTGAAGCTCACGCTCGTTGTTGGATCTATAAAGACCGGCGTAAGGAGCGTTTTATGTATGTGCCATTTCCCACGTCGTTCGCGAATACCGAAAAAAAAGAAAAAGAAAAATAAAAAAGAAAAAAAAAGAAAATTCTCTTTCTTATCCGTATCACAATCCCTATATTAAATCGTTTTTTAAAAATCAACAAACAAGTTTTTAACTATAAATACGCTTTAAAACGATATTAATTAATCGGATTTTAAACTAATTTAAATCAGTTTTATATATCGAGTTTGACTAGATATTTTTCAATCTGATACGATATTACCTAATCGAAGAGAAAACAAAACAGAAGGGAAGATAGATAGTAAATACTTACTTGATATCGTCGAACATCGCAAGCTCCGAGAAGGAGCTACGCTCCGCTGAATAAACTAACAGCACGGTAAGTATTATACCTAGGATAGGGATACACTGTGCGAACGTTTTTATTTTCCCTTCGAGATCTAACTTTTCCTCCCTCTCTAGCTATCTTCTTTCGTTTCTATCGTGAACTAAAAGGTAGTCCCTTTTTACTTTGTTAATCTCTCATATTACGAGATAGAAAAAAAAAGAAATACAAAATTTAAATTTTACATCTGCACATATAGAAACTGACATTTTATATTGAAACTTTTTGTAAAAAGAAAAATTTGAAGGATATATATATATATATTTCGAAAATTAACATTTTATATGTTATCTTAAGTTACTTAATAGATTTTTTCCATCAAATTCTGTTTTATGATCTATCGAGAGTCTGTACTCAATTGGCTCAAAGTCAAATACTTATTATTAATAAGCAAGACGCCTTAAAAGTATGGAAATGTTAAAGCAAATGATGGAAAATAAGAGATACAGTTAGAGAGAGAGAGAGAGAGAGAAAGAGAGAGAGAGCAAGAAAGAGAAAGAGATAGTTGGAGAAGGAGGTCTAGAATGACAGGAAGACGCACCTGTCACTCCTAAATCTCATTGCTTAGAGTCTCCTTGCGAGTGTCACGGTCGCGTTTAGAGGAAAACGGTTCATCCCCTTCTATCTATAACTCCCTTCTTTCTCTTTCTCGCGTTTTAATAGCCACACATATGCATATATGCATTTAATTGGCTGACATATGAGAACGAGAAAAAGAGGGGAAGAGAAATAGAAAGAGAGAGAGAGAGAGAGAGACAGAGAGAGAGAGAGAGAGAGAGAGAGAGACAGAGAGAGAGAGAGAGAGAGAGAGAGAGTTATTTCCAGGCAGCGGTCATTAGTCCATTACCATGGACGACAAAATATCCCTAGAAAGATTTCTACGATATCCTTGAGTTATCTGAACATACAAACAAATCTTAAATAACCCTATTTCGTATGTTCTACCTAATCTCTTATATTTATCCACGATTTCCGACTATACCAAATTTTCCCTTCGTTTATCTGATTGAGACGTATTTCTTCGCGAAGGGAGAAAATTGATTTCTTAAAAGATTTTCATTCACGCAGATGCACATTCATCAAAACGTTCCTAGAAAATTTTTTTGAAATTAGCTAATTTTATATTAACGATAGTATTATATTCATGTACATAGATATATATATACGTATGTATAATATAGATAAGGGATAGATAATAATTATTCTCAATTAAAATATACATTTTAATTTCCATCGATTAGATATTAATCCTAATATCTATTTCTCTTTCTCTCTCTCTTTCTCTCTCTCTCTCTCTCTCTCTCTCTCCCTGTTATGTAATATATATATATATATATATATATATATATATATATATTTGGGTCGGCGTTTAATTAAAACACGGATAAATATATCTAATTAAATATAATCGGCGCGAACAAAATTCGTTCGTGTAAAAAAGAAAAAAAAAGAGAAAAGAAGAAAAAAGAAGAAAAGAAAAAAAGAAAGAGAGATTAAAATCCTTATTCGTTGAATGTTTAAGTAAATACGAACGAAGACAGGAAATAACAATCGGCGGCATTAGTAGCAATGGGAATGAAAATCATCGCGGTGATTTGAGAGAGCTAAGGACGTTGCCAAACGCCGTGTAACAAATTGCACGGCTCTTGCAGCCGGCCGAAAGTACATAATTTAATAAGCGATGTGGTTTACGAGCCGGCGGTGTAGCTGCAGTTAGAGCCGAGATTTAACGTAGACTTCTGCGGGGTGCGTTTCCTTTGCTTTTCTCCTCTTTATTTTCTTTCACTTGCTACTATCTCTCTCTCTCTCTCTTTCTCTCTCTCCTTCCCCTTCTCTTTTTTACATAATTACAACACTCGATACTCGGCGTACATTTATTTTTTCTTTTATTATAGCTGCTTAAATTATTTTCTTTTTCCTTCTTCTTCTTCTTCTCTTTTTTTCTTCTTTTTTCTTTATTACCATCATTACATCATTTTCATTAATTTATCTCGCTATACACCATACGATTATTTTATCTCCTACTCCCGCCCCTTTCATTGGGAGGAGTAATACTATTTCTTTTTGAGGACAAGTTTTATAATAACACGAAAAAAGAAAAAAGAAAAAATAATATTCACATTTGATTTAAGATATTTTGTTTTTTTTTTATCGCTGTCAATTACAACTCATAACGATCTTGATTAAAAAAGTTTTCGATATCCCGACAAATCAGACGAATTCGCGTCGTTGAAAACTCTTGATGATATCCCGACTTTTGTTTCTCATGAACGAAAACGATTGTTGGAATCAAGTACGTTGGCTTACAAGTTTGTCTTACGCTCGTAACAAATACATCGATCATAAATTTTGCATATTTTTTATTTATCACACTTTGTCCAAAGAAAATATATCTCGAATAGACATATCAACTATGATAACGTTTACATTCTCATTCTTATATTTTCCTTTGGAAAAAATTAAATCGACGCATAATTTGCTCAAACGACAATAATGACAATTGCAAAAAATATTGCATCATTCGTTTTAAGTACATAAAAAAAAAATTTTTTTAATCCGCATATGATAGATCTTACTATCTACTATTAGATGATATAATCCTACTTATGATCTTGTTCGTATTGAGCTTTCGGCCCATGGAAATAAACTTTATCTCTCTTTCTTTCTCTCTCTCTCTCTCTCTTTCTCTCTCTCTCTCTTTAAAATCTTCTCATCTCTTTGCCTTTGCACGGTCCATGGACAAGCGTCATTTCTCGGCATAAGCCGGCTCGGCTTAATGTTGTTTTAATTAAGTAGGCGGTTAGCCGAAAAGAATGTCGAGAGTCGGTACTTTCAAACTCGTCGTCGTTGTCGTTGTCGTTTCTCCTTCTCTATTTCGAGAGTTGTGCTCGTAAGAGAGCGAGTCAGCATGTGTTCCTCGTATGTTCAGACGCGATGGACGATTTCGTTTGACTAATCGCCGTCTTTTCAACCTCGCCTAGACCTCTCCCCCTATCTCTCCAACCCTCTCTCATACCTCTTCTTATTCTTTCTCCCCTTCTGTTTAGTTGTCGTCGTCTTCGTCGTCGTCGTCGTCATCTCGTCTTCCATTTCTACCTCTTCTACTTCTACGTTCTCGTCTTCGTCCTCGTCTTTCTCTTCTTTTTCTACTTCTTCTCACGATGCGGTTAAACTCGGAGGAAATCGCGATTTCCCATCTGAATTCCCCTTCCATGGGACACCACCGTTTAACGACAAAAGCGTGGACGGGTACCTAGTAATTTGGATCGGGTCTACGGAGAAAGCGAGAGATGGTAGCTTTACAAACGTAATGGTGTGCTTCTACTTCGTGAGATCGCATGAATTCGTTAACTATCTACATATTATTACGAAGCGTCGTCTCTTGCATAAAGCCAGGTTCTAATTACAAATAGCAATGTTTGTCGTACGCTGTATCCTTTCGAACGAGGGAAAAAAACAAAGAAAGCAAAGGAATAAAAGAAGGAAGAAAAAATAATAACAAAAAAAAGAAAAAGAAATAAAAGGAAAAAACAACTGATAAAAATCTCACGATTAAATGGGTAAGGATTTCAAGCGAGTTGTTCACTGATTTTGATCGTCTTTCTTTGATAATTGACTACAACCAAATGGCGGCGTAAGTAATCAGCAACGTTTCTGTAGGAAATTATCTGTGTTGAGTGAAAACGTAAGACACATTCCTTTATCGGGACGATCTAAAAGAAAAAAAGAAAAGAAAAAAACAGACCAAGGTCGGGACTTCACTACTGGAGTTTGATATTTCGACAACGTTGGTACGCAATTTTATGCTTCGCCGGAGCGGGTCCATTTGATGTTTACAAGATACCAGGTATATCCCTCGAACATTGTTTCCGTGAATTTATCAAAAAAAAGAAAAGATTATAACACGGTTAATAACGCCTCTTTTATATCAGAACGATTGTTGTTGCTTGAAGAAATGATAATGAGAGGAATTGAAGATACATATTGGATAAAATAATTTTACATGTTCGTCTACGTTTACCTTCCTGATGTACAAAAACTACCCCTAAAGGAATACAATTAAAGACAAAAAATTATTTCAATAACAAATTTATAATTTGATAGACTATTGAAAAAATTCTTAGACAATTTTATATGCCACTTTGAAGCATTGAATTAAAATTATTCAAAAAAAAAAAAAAAATTAAAAAAATAAAAAATTTTCAAGTGTGAAAGCTACTCCATCTGAAGTAAAAACATACGTGGCTGTATAAATAGTAGATATACAATACTATCGTTTCTTCTAAAGATTTCTACCATACTTCAGATTGTTAAAGCAGTTTACTTCCTTTATCGATTGATGGTAAAACGTACTCTTTCTTACCAACTATTGTTATTCATAAGCAATATTGCATCATTATTTTTGATATTTGTTGCAAGTTGATTAGTGCTTCCCTCTATAATTCAGTGTATAATACTATGTTCTTAGCGTATTTTTTTTAATCGTAATTAAAAAGTAATTCATTGAAGTTACGTAACAATACTATTATTTGAAAAATATTTTCTACGAATTTATGATTGTTGTATTTACTAAATTCTTTTCATGCACTTTCTAAATAATATTTTTTCAGTAAAATATACATGTAATACGATTAAAGAAAGAAACAGGAAGGAATTTCTTTACTAGTTGTTCCGCAGAAAAATAAAATCAACTTTCTCCGATCGTAAAACAATGATAGTTCAAAAAAAAATATTAAACTAGCGTTATAACGCACGACAAAAATCTGTGATTGTGATAAAACTTGATGATTTAAAAAAGCTTAGAAATTATAACATTTTGAAGGAATAGAGGAACATTTGTATAAGTTTATTTAAATGCTTAAAAAATATTAAAATGTTTAAATACAATATAATGTACCAGCAAATCGAAAAGTAACAGTAATATAATCATTGTAAATGAATGACTATTACGATATCTAATTTATATATATGTGTAAGCTGCAGATGAATATATATTAACAAAATTAATTGTTATCGACATTCGTTCAATTGTTTCGTTTTCCGATTTTCATCCATCATATCCGTCCTGCAGTTACTAGGCATTACGTTAGATTGTAATTAACATTTGCAGGGCGTGCAAACGCATTTGCCGTTTGTCTTGCAACAGCAACATTTCTCTGTAAGAAGAAAAGAAAATGAATTTTATTAAATAGGATATGCAAATAATCGATCTACTATTCAAGTCGATGTTAAATTTCAAGTCAATTTTTTTTTGTTGAATTTAATTTAAAATATTGTAAAATGTCGATGACGGAGAAGGAGAGAGAAAGAAAAAAAGAAAGAGACAAACTACGAGAGAAGAAGAAAATACATCTCATGGAAATACAACGAACTCGCATTAGAAACGGTCACGGTTACTCGGTTATTGCTCGAGATGAAAAGGAAGCGTACAGTCGCCTTCAAAGTCTTAACACAGCATTCCTATTGTGCGTAGAGCGTGACGTAATTTTTTTTAAAGTCGATAGTTCGTATCTCCGATGGACTTAACCGAAAGTTCTAGCTAAATTTTCGATAACGAAATATTTTATTGTTGAAATTTCGTAACAAAGACTACAAAATAACGACAAAGAAAATATTTTCAATTTTAAAATACCTCCGGTACTTGTCTCACAGCATTGACAATTATTGCCGCATTTGCAGTCCTGGCATTTCTCTGTAACAACATAATATACAAATCATTTTCAATTACACGTTAAATAAAGATTTTTAAAATACGTATTTTCGTAAAAATATACTTTTCTTTTACCTCGTTTATATACATATTTTTAAAAATTTTTGAAATATAAATATGGATCGTATTAAATTGTTCGAGCAATATTAATATTAATTTAGATATTACATACGTGAGCGAAATAAATCGTAAATATACGTCTTTTTCTTATTCTTCTTCGAGTAAAATAAGTTATCATTCTCAATCGTTTTACTTTACGATTATCAAACGTATCGAAAACATTAAGCATTTTTCGTTATATAAACGCAGAGATAGAACTGATTAGGTATATCGTACTATCAATTATCATTAACTTTATCGAACAATAAGATTTTTGATGTAATAGCAGACAAAAGAAAACAAGTGAAAAAAGGAAGAAAAGTTATTGAATTTCTACGATAAAGATTTCCTTCCCAATGGTAGATTAATATTTCTCAAAATGTCAATTTAATTAACAAAAGATGTTTTGTTCGAATGAATATAATAGAATAGGTATCGTTTAATTAGATCGTAGAGATTAGATCAAAATTGTCTAAGCAGCAATAAGTATCGCAATCGTCGTCGTCGTCGTCCTTATCCGGAAGTGGTAGATCCACGGGTTCGTTAAAAGTCAAATGAGAAAACAAGTTCAAAATTAATTGAAGCGATCGTTGACCGCCCTCACTACTTTATCGAGTAATAGATCTTAATGAAAAGACTTCGATGATACGCAAATGCATCGGCGGACATGTTAATACACATCGGAATTCCCCCTCGTTCGATATATATAACGTGTCACATGTCTACACAGTAAAATTATTATTAAATTTCTCTCTCACGATTGATTCTCAATATTTTTTTTTCTTTACATAATAAATAAATTCCTCGATTTACGATTTCATCATAAAATTCAAATCAACTTGTTTCCAATGCAAATTTTTCATACGTTTCTTTTACACATATTAATTAACGAAATACGACGATGAGTTTAATTTCAGTTTAATTAGAAAAAAAATACACAATCCAAAGATAATATTTTGGTGATACGATTAAAATTATTCCAAGAGGAAAACTACCGTAAAAATAAAAGATATAAATAGTATCGGGGACTCGTCGTACATTAACCTCGTTTAAATTTGTATATACCTATACGCATACACTTGCATATGCATACGTAATACGTAGAACGAAGAAAAAAATTATTATTACAGAAAAAAAACCTCGATCGCAGTATTAAACGTAGTTAATCGTATCTTTGTTTACATACGATTAAGGTAACACGATGTGTACGTGAGCTTTAACATTTATTATTATATCGTTCGTGAAATATTTTTTACGAGATAAGAAATTATTTTATATTGGTAAAAACGTATTTGTCGACTGTGTGTTTAAAAATGATAAAGTATATTTAAAAATCGAATACAATGTATTTTCTACAACCAAGAAACCATTGCGTCAAGTTATTGTAAAGTCACGTCATATGGGGAAAGATTGTTTAGTCATTCGCCAAATAGAAATAATGATTAATAGATTTTACGTAATTTGATTAGCTCCAAGAGAAGAGAAAAATAGTAAAATGAAATTCCAATACATTCCAATACAGATGAAATATTAAAACGCTCGTTTCAACAATTAATTCATTCAAATAGAAAAATTAAAAAGAAAGACAAAGAAACGATTTTAATAATAAATAAATTAAAATATAACAATAAATTTTGATTTTATTTTAAGAGAAAATTACAATCTAAGTGAAATTTTATTTTATTTTACTTGTACAAAATAATCAATAGAATAATAAAATAAAATAAAATAATTTCGTGCTATCGCAACCTTAGGAAAAAACTATTTCGCGATTTCACATTAGAAAAATTCGTGAAAAAAGATATGCTCACCTTTGCATTTCTCACAGCATGGTCCCGGCATCTTGTCGATGTATTTATTGTCTTTTAAATTTAATCGAAATTTTTATACGTATTCAGAACGTCTCCGCCGTTGTTCGAGATACTGACTTGACGTAGTGTCGATGCTGTTGAATATATTGATCCTCCCCCACTCTTGATATGGGTAGTGAACGCTTTCCGCCGTCGGCAAGTGCAACCGGCACTACTGACGTGCCATGCGCAACAACCTGCAGGGCCGTGTGTAAGTCACGTGATACGTTTGCTCGAATAGTGGGGGAAAAAGTGGAAAAGAGTCAGTCGAGACATAACTTGCTTCATTCATGCTTTCATACGCGATGCTGATTAGTATTCGCACGCTTTGTTATTCTTCTTTTCTTTTTTTTTTTTTTAATCAAATTTTTTCCACATTATTGCGATTATTTTATTTTATTTTATTTTATATATTTTTTTTTATATATATATATATTTTTGTTTTTTTTTTTTTTTTTACTTAGATTCAAGAGACTTTTGTTTTCCTTTTTTCTTTTTTGTTTTTCTTTTTTTTGTTTTTTTTTTGTTTTTTGATTCCAAGCAATCACAGCAGATATTCTATTCGTTATGAGATTGAAAATGGATCGATGCACCAGAGATAAAATACGCAATGGGATTTATTTATAAAATATGATTTATATTAAATTTCGGAAGTACGGATATCGTTCTTATTAGTATATTAATTACATTCTCTTTAGTATATGTGTATATATATATATATATATATATATATATATATTACAATTAGTTTAAAATTTTAAACGTAGAGAGAGATGAGCTTCGAGCTTCGATATATAAGATATTCTTTATAACTTATCTTAACGTATAAACATTTATGCGCATATTTTTTATAATACAAACGAGATATTACAATAACAAATATTTGATCCTCTTGAGTATAATTCATAATGAGATTCGTTACGTTAGAACTGGGAGTCAAAATATTAAAAAAGCATTGGTATTCTGTCCTAGCGATTAGTCATGGAATTAAATCGATTTTTCTTTTTTCAAAATATACGTATGCCCAATTGATTTTGATTAGAGATATAGAAAAAAAGAAAGAAAAAAAATTTCAATGGAAACACTGTCAGATAATTCTGACTTTGGCCAACCCTCATATTTTCCCTATCCGATGTACGGACCATGAACGAAATAATTTCTTCGACGATTTGTTTTTTAATTCTCTTCCATGAGCGATTTGAATTTCTAATGAAGCTCCATTGTTCAACGCCAACCAGGTATGCACTTCGTTGCTCGCAACTGATACTCCTAAAAATAAAATGATAAATAGAAGTTTCAAAAATAACGTAAATTCAAGAATTTTAACGATAATCAAATGTGATAAGTAACAAACCTAATAATTCGTGCAACGTGATACGTCGACTTGCCAATAACTCCTTACTGGCACCTCTAATTTCGAATATGAGTAAAGCTTGTCTCGGAACGCTGTCACTTTCTATATGAAAGTCTATACTGAATTGCGGATTTGGCATTGCCGGTAATAGTCGTGACTTCGCTATTGTTTTGCCGGCATTAGCAGAGGATGACATTTTCTCTGGACTGTTACATCTGGAAACGAGATGAGAAAAAAACACGCATATTCATATCAATATCCTTATCGCATTTGGTATTTACTTACGAACATGAATGATATGATATAAGCTATCGTTACTTACGTTTGAAATTTAACTCGGCAATATAGCTGAGCAATGTGAGCTACGTGAAGTCCCTGTGCTTGCAAAACTTTGCCCTCCACACCCGAATATCTTTCTCTGGTGCCATTAACAATTTTCAATTCTATAACAAGAAAATAATATCTTAGGTATGGGAGCAAGAGAGATATGCACACAGGATCGAACGAAATATTTTTTCTTTCTTTCTTTCTTTCTTTTCTCTTCTTTTTGGTTATTATTTATATTCCAATACACGTTTCATCGTATTTCGTTTCATTCACATATCTTAAAAAAAACATATTTTAGCATCTCATTAAACGAGCGTAATGAGAAAAACGTTTTCGTTCCGTCCTGTTTACATTCGATTTTGTTGATGTAATATGATCGCTATAATATAACGCATATATATATACATATATATATATATATGATTCACCATTTGGTCTTATTCGTAAACGTGGACTAGGCTGTCTTATTCTACCAAGCATATCAGGTTGCGAAACAGCATGTGCTAAACCAGCTCCTTGTAACAATTCCGTAGCATCAGCTTCACCACCGCCCCTAGGTTCTAAACTCAACGTTATACCCTTGCTTTCGTTTTTATTATCTTCTATATTTACTTCCGAACGGAATCTGCGGAGTTTCAATCCTCTCTTGACCTATAATTAGATGTAACAATATATTTAGATATTTCGAGTTGGATATCAAATTTACCTTTTGTTTCATAACGCGGAAGCTATTGTACTGTGGTAGCTTCTTGCCAAAGTTTTGTTCAGGACTGGGTGTTAAACTATGATGGGACGATCGTCTTTCCCTTATTTTTGGAACTTCTACCATGTCGACTACATCGGTAATGGATTCATTCACTACTCTGGACATCCAAGAATTTTGATTACCGTTCATTTCGTTTGATTCTTTACTTGTTATATTGATTTTATCTGTTTTAAAAAATAATAATAATAATAATAATAAATGAATTTGATAATATAGGTACATCCGTAGGTACATCACGTATAACCTTGAATCTCATACATACATGTATTGTAGAGCTTGCCATATCATTGATTCATAACATCATAATATTTATATAGATTGAAACATATTGAATGACTGAAAGTCAAGGTTATATAGGAGGCTTATTCATCATTTCAAATATTTGTTTTAAAAGAAACGTTCGTATTACCAGACTGATTGGACGTCGTAGGTTTGAGTAAAGTAACAGTACGTGGAGGTGGTGGTGGTGGGATAACAGGATCCAAATGTAACTTCATTTTAGATTTTTCCATTGATGGTCTTCTTATGATGTTAGATATTGATTCGGTTTCTATATTGTAACGAGAAGAACCCTCGCTCGCATTACTGGCTGCATATGTGCTTTGAGTCTAAAATGAAGTAAATGGATAAGTTAAAATAGCGAATAAAAATATCATGGTATATATAAAGTTTTTAACATAATCAATTACCTCATATTCCTCGGAGAGAACTTTGATTTTTAGCTCAACAGATCCCGTTTTGGTTCCCTTTAACGTAAACCAATGAGACTGATCACTATTGGAAAGTTTTCTTATATCGTCGAGAGTCAATGACACTTTACCCAAATAATCTTTCATACCAAAAGTATCATGATCCCATAGGACCTACGGAAAATATCAAAGATTTTTTATTTCATCGTTATTATAAATTATGATATTATGATAAAAAAAAAATATATATATATATCAATATGAATATGATGATTATTACAATATCTAAATTTTCTCCTGACCGAGGTAGACCCATTATAGAGCTCTCATCCCAACATGGATTCAACGTTTTCTTCTTTATACTACTTTTGTACTTTGTTTCGTTATTTAATTTAAGCTCACAGAATGGATCGCTAAAGCCATTTAAATCTTTCGCAACCAAATCCTTAGCGCGTAACAATGTCACTTCCATTAAGCCACTTCCAGTGGATAGAAGACTCGATATATCGGAAGAAGCAGGGTCAATGTCTTTGTGAGTTAATAATAATTTCTAAAAAAAACATAGAAGACGTTATAAATAAAACATTGTGTACCAATATATTCATATATCAATTAAGATTATTGTTAATGATTGATAGAAAGCATGTACTAAAGAATATATGCAGTACTGAAAACGAAAAATTATCATGTTTGAAACAAATGTTGGATGCGTACATCGTATTTAGACAACACAACAAAATATAATAGACAACATAACAAAATAAAAAGAAAAATCATTAAATTTATCATTATATATATATATATATATATATATATATATATATATATAATATATAATATATATATATATATATACATAACTGATTTTCATGTATTATTTAATACAATATTTTATTATTGTATTGGTATACATTAATATATAAATCTATAATTAATATATGAATCTGAATTTGGAATAATAATATATTAATGAAAAAAAATGTATCTAGTATTCTATAATGTAATCATATATCAATATAATAGTATCAATAAACATTCAAGAACTAACAGCTTGTTGCATCCAAGGTAAACTATTTCTCTTTGATTTTGGTTCATCATCTGATGCAACGGGAACCATACTGCTTCTACGACTGGTAACTACTTGTTGTACACTCTTTACGGGATAAAATAATACGGAAACCGTCATAGTGGAAACACTGTTTGTACCATTCAGAGTTAATTCTTTTCTAAGTACCCACGTTGATTCCTTAAAAAAATATTAACATTGATATATACATACATATATAATATAATATAATAGATAATATCTACATGATAGACATTGTAATTTTGTTGAAGTAATTTTATTGTATATTATAAATCTAAATTTACCTGGGTTAATGACATCATAGCAAGCCCAAGCATATCCGAGTCACAAGACTTCGATATATTCCAAGAATATATAACAAAGCTAAGACAAACTTGAGTATAATCTTGTACGAGAAACTGTGCTCTACATTCCCAACGCGGAGAGGTAGTATTACGAACGTAGTGTGTAGTTTTCACCTTCAAAGTAAATTCTTCTATACATCATCTACTGACAGCTTTATTTTTAATATAAAAAAATTAATTGTGTGTGTGTGTGTGTGCGTGTGTACCAATTACCTTCTTTCGGTTATTAAACAACATACAGTAAGGATTGCATTGTGAAGTATCACAGTTAAGATTTTCTGAAGAATGGATATAAACCACGAGGACACCTAAAAAATATTTAATATGTATCATATCAAAGAATTTATGGTATCGTCAAATTTGATAAAAAAAAAAGAAAAGAACTATTAATGTCTTTTTTCTCTCCCTCTCTCTCTCTCTTTCTCTCGCTCTCACTCTCTTTCTTTCTTTTTTTTTTCTTTATCAAATTATTTCTAACGAGTGATAAGTTTTTGCGCTGTGCGTCAATAGGAAAAAAATAAAAAGTATAAAAGACCATGCTCGAAAGCCACACTTATTACGATCGATTTTAACATTGCATTATTTTTACCTGATTTCTGTGCTCGAGAGATATACTTTCGTGTTACTGAAAATATCAGATAGTGTAGTACGTCTATTACTTTAAGCATGGTCTATGACAGTTGTACACATATTTGTATTTTTTTTCCTTTTGCTTTTTTTTTTTTCTTTTTTATCAATTTCTTCATATCAATAAATTTCAAAATGTATCGATTATAATATCATATAAATAGATTATAAATTCACCTGCATTGTGTAACATATCCTCGGTTAATTCAGGTCGTGGCAAATCCGGTTCCAAATTAGGAATGGGCGTATATTCTAATCGAGCATTAATATTTGGAATGTTTGAACTGCTACTAGAAGGTTTTTTTTGTTGTATTACGGTTTCAATGCTGCCATGTTTAAAAATGCCAATAATTATTATTTTTAATAATTATGAATATGTATTATTTAATCTAATTATTTTTATTAGATAATCATCGTGTATACTTACATTTGAGGATTCTCCCAATTGTAAACGCCAAGTGCCAATTCAAATTGGGCTAAAGTGATGGTACTGACGAGCCTCTTCGTCTTCAATTTGATCGTGATCCTTTCGTTGTCCAATGGTCCGACCAAAAACGAAACGTCCTCCGTCCAAGTTGGATTCAGATGTGACGTGACACAACGTTGATCCCCTATGGTCACTACCAGCCATCTTACTTCATCACCTATGATAGCTAAGTCAAATAATGAAAAGAACGTTGAACGTGTCGGATTCTTAAAAACATATTTAGCAAAGAAACATATTTAGCATTTTACATACGTGGTGAACCATCTTGACTCAATACAACAGTCAGTACACCTTGCGGTATTGAATTAGCCAAAGAATCCAATACAGGGCCAGGTCTTTCCTGAGCTCTTAAATTCAATTCAAGATGACCCGGATCAACGAGCCAACTTGCCAAAGCATCGGTAACTACAGCATGAATCCAGGTCTTGATTAAAGGTATTTCCATCATTTGCACGGTTCGTAGGATTCTCACGCTGAACCAAACTTCCGGTTTCTCCAAGAAGCTCACGCTAAGCCTAGTCGCGTGTGGAAACGGTGCCAGAGAATTCAGGGTCAGAGTGATGAGAATCGTTCCGGAGAGGGTCAGCTTTTCCACGGCCATATCGACATCCATGCAAACGCTTTAAAAAAAAATCACGTATACTCACACATACACATAACATGCATAAAAAAAGATGTATATATATATATATTTATATATATATATATATATATATATATATATATATATAAAGAAGGAGAAAAATGATCACTTTATAATCGTATCGTATCGTAAATCAGAATGAAAATTTACACCAATCAAATCGTTCAGGATATTAATTATATCGGGATTTACGTATCGGGATATAATCGTAAATTTACCCTTACCCAAAGAGACTCCCGGATGCTATGAGCATGCGAAATTGCTCGCAGTCCAATCGTACATCGGCCTTGATTGATAGTTTTTTCTCTCTTGAATGACCGTCCAACGTTTCATCTTCGCAACTATATTCCAGAGTCCTCACGCGTGTTACATATGGTGTTTGCTCGCCAAGAGTAAGTTCCCGTAACTCTAACGGTCCTTAAACAATATAATCAACGACTCGATAAAAAAAAAGTAATTCTCTGTCCGAATCCTCATGGAAAAAATATTCTCTTAAAAAAACAGGCGAAAAGAAAAATAAAAAAAAAGGTAATAAAAAAAACCTTGACTCAACTTACCCAATATTCCAGGTTTGGCTTCGTTCAACAAAGGCTCTAAATGTTCTTTAGCTAATGAAAATATACTTGCCGCGCTAAATCTCCACCTTGAATTAGAATAAGAAAACGTGTTTAATTATTGAAACGTTCTGGTTCCAATTAACTGGCGTAAAATGTGCCGCATAAAAATTTCAATTACGAAATTAACGACAATACATACTTAGTCGTAATCATTTTACAGCACCCTGACTCATTTAATTCATAAAACATCGCAATTTCATTTCTTAAGTGTTTCCTCAACGAACTATATATGTATATTTCGATTAGAATTCAGCATGATGGCTTTCGTGATTAAGTAGCTACGTAATATTATTTATAATGCATCAGCGGCATTCTATTATTAAATCAAAATGAGAAGGGAAGGCTTTGGTTATTTTAGTTCGTAAAAGCATGGAAACGAAAAATAGGGTTGGGGAAAAATAAGATTATGTTGATGAAATTTTTTGATACGATTATCCAAGACAAAATATATAAAGTATGTAATAAAAGATTTTGAAAAGATTAAATTTTGAAGGAGGAAACCCGATGTTAGAGTACGTTGTACGTTGTCCTAATCACGGTCACTTTACTCTCGCTATTCTACGATAATGAATTCGTCTTATTAACGTTCCTGTTAACAACAAACTGTGCAAACAATGTCACGTTCAATAACATTATCATAGTATACGTACATAATGTTCTTGCAAACTGAATAGAAAGAAACCTATTTCTTTTCAGAATGAAAATTAAAACAGTGATATATCTAAATGATCGAAAAATCATGCGTTGACATTGATCAACAATATGTTCGTGATCATCGATGATGATCTTATAAATTTTTTAAAAAGATACTTGAATAAGAAAAACCAAAAAATTAAGAAGCAAGCCCAACCACGAAAATGCATTTTGTATGCTGCCACGTGATCGAACCATTCAAGCTTGTATACATCGTTGTTGGACGTGACTCGGCCAGGAAATTCGTTCTTCTTGCATTTGTGTGTACTCTTTCGATTTACTACTTTCTCTCGTGTGTATATGTTTTTCAAGTAGAAGAGAACCGAGGGACGGGTGTCCAGGAATGTACGAACAGGCCTATCAACTATCCAAATAAGTAGTACTCTTTCCAGTCCCATTCCCTCGCGGTTTGCTCTAGCTGCTTCGACACTCCAAGAAACGAGAAAATCTTACTTGCTATCGACCGTGTATTAAGTATGTACATTTTCAACAATATACGTATATATGTATGTATGTATATATATATATATGTATGTATGTATGTATGTATGTATATATGTATGTATGTATGTGTGTATGTATATACAACGAACCTAATTAAATCAATCAAAATCAAAATCGAAATTAAAATCTGAATAATATTTCCAACGATCTTTATCATCCTTATATTACGTTACATTTTTCATTTTATCTACCCTCCCCTCCCATAAATAATCATCGAGATAAGAGGTGTAATAATATCATAGAGCATGATTATGTAGTACAGGATTTCTAACGATTTCTAATCTTCTATAAATTTCTATTTAATTTATCGAGTGTTCAACCGTACGTAACAAAAGTGTACTTATTGTAAACACGTATATATGTATATTTGTGCCATATATTATTTATTTATTTATACATAAGATACACACACATATATATATATATATATATATATATATATGTATTCTCCCGTTATGATTGAAATCGTTTAGATCGATTAGTATTATCCTCCATAAGCAATACATATACCTTTATCATTTTTCAACGGTCTCATAAGTTTCAAGCATCAAGGAGCAGTTTCATTTCGTTTTGTCAACTGCTCTCCAGCTCTGTCGCGGTCACCGATTCTCTTCTCGTCGATGTGTGGGAGAAACGTGAAAGGCAATGGGTGTACGCGCGAGGAATGTGGAATGTTTACAAATGCCTATACAGTACTCATTCTCGAACGAGAGGTTCGTTCACCTATTCTCCGACTATATATATATGGCGATTATGTTAGTGCGGACCCGGTAGAGCACACGGTATAGCTATATTATATCTGTGATGTTCAGGATCGTCTGCAATTATCATGATATGCAATTATTTTAACCACGTGTAGGGAACTCCTATTACGATTTATACGGTCGTAGGAAAACATAATCGTAGTAGTAGAGACTACTAAAACAGTGAATTTTCTCTACATAGTGAAATCACCTTCTTACATAACTCCTTGCAAATATCTATGTATGTGCGTTTTTCTTTTTCTTTTTTTTCGTTTTTTTTACCTTTCCTTACAAACAACATTAAAAGCGCTTAATTGTAAAAGAAATGATTATCTATTTTGAAGGATAATTTTGTTAGATCAATTTTTCTTCTTTTCTCTTTTTTTCTTCTTTTCAATACCTTGATTGATATCACCATCAAGGAACACTGATACAAGTCATGTGACTTCATCCTCTAATACGCATACTCAAGCTATATGTTATATCGATTACACAGCATAACTCACTATCACACCGTTCACACCGTTAACGGAAAACACATTCATTTCAATATGAAATAATGTCATATCGATTCATTGAATTGTGGTAGAAGAAGAAACGAACGTAATATCAATTGTGGAAAATTGAAATGACATTTTCTAATATATTCAACCGATCGATATTTACCATCTGTTGAACAACAAACTAAGCCATTCGGCAGTTTCGTCTTTGTACAAGGCACGTTTTCTTCTTAACCTCGACAGTTCGTGTTGTAGACCCATTTGAAGTAGACGTGATATTCTCGCCTTCATGATCGTACCAACCAATGCCAGAATTAGGACCAACCAGGCTAACGACAGACCAGCTGCGCCGATTATCCAGGCGATCGTAAGAGCCAAGCCGATATACAGGGCACCGCGTATCGCTTCCGCATCTCTCTGAAAAAGAAAAGAGAAAGAGAAAAAAAAAGAAAGAAAGAATGAAAAAAATTAAAATTAATTAAAAATCACTTGATAAAACTTGAAGAAACAAACGGATTTGTTACGTGCACGAAGTGTGTTTCATTTGGTTCAAGCTACGATTCGACTTTTTTTATCCCTCTATGAGTCAATTCATAACGGGTTTTTAACTAAAAATAAAAATACATAGCATAGAAATTATATATCTTAAAAATTTTTTTCTTATAATATTTTATTATCATACGTTGTCAACATACGTTGAGTATAACTTAAATTTATTATATGAAAAAAAAAGAAAATATTAGAAACTCCATATGTACGAAGTAACTAGTGATTTTATAGTGATCGAATAAAATGAGATTTGAAAAGTAAATATAAAAAATACAAGTTTGCGATTTGTTCCAATTAAAAAATATTTTTTAAGACTTTTTTCAAACGATATGGAAAATAACGAATATATATATATATTTGTTCGTGGTCCAGTTGAATGAAACACTTCGTATAGCTTAATCTTGATTGATAAAAGACGCCGGATCGAATTAAAAAAATTCGTGTATAATAAAATATAACAGATAGTTAAAAATCAAAAATACAAAGCACCGTTGATAACCATTTATATAAAATTCTTTTTTTCTTCTATTTCATAGTATATAGGACACATTTTTATTCGTGTCACACGCAACGTTGCGTGCTATCTCACGAAAAGGATTCTATGATATCATAAAAAGAACGTCATTAACCTTAGAGCACTGTCGGACTAAGTTGGTCTCTATTTATCAGTGATCAGGACAAATTATTGAAAGTCGAGTCTTACTATTTTAAGAAAAGAAAGAGAAAGAAAAAGTGAAAAAAATAAAGAAAATATAAATGAAAAAAGAGAGAGAGAGACAGAACAAAAGAGAGAAATAAAGAGATCGTACACCTTCGTAACGTAATCGTTACGAAGATCATGATAATGATAATAAAAATCAAGAATCGTTAAAAAGATCATGATAGTATGCTTAATCAAGAAGAACAATATTGTTTGTGTCGGACAATTAAAATCGTAAATCCTTTCGTTAACTTCAATACGTATCTATGTATATATGTATGCGTGTACATACGCACGTATCCATGAATTTAATGTATGTGAATTATAATCGTATAAACACGTAGTGACATTAAATTGAATACTATCTTTTCTTTTTTTTTTCTTTTTCTTTCTTCTTTTTTTTGTTTTTTGTTTCGACGACAGTAAACGATGAAGCGAGATTATTTCTCAAAAATGAGGACGCGTAACTCGCAAAGTGACACAAAAAGGACGGGCTCTCTTATACAGGCAAGCGAGTCGCATAAATCCAAATGACAGGCACAATGACGAATGTCGCGTTGAAATTTCGTGAAAGTTTGCAATTATGCGTGCATCGTGAATAACTGAGGAAAGGAAAGAGAGAGAGAGAGAGAGAGAGAGAGAAAAAGAGAAAGAGAGAGAAAGAGAGAGAAAGTACACTCCGCAAGTAGAACTTGTCTTCTTGACTCGAGATCGGTTTTCTCTCAAGCGCTACTCGACCAAGGTGAGATCTCTTGATCATAACACCTTACCTTACTCTTTACGCTTACAGATCTCTGCCCTTGACGATATCGAGATCTACAGGTTAAATATATCGCGTTACTTCACTGAAATTCGATTTCAAATGTGAAAAATGATGGAAAAGGAAAGAAAAAAAAGACAGAGAAAGAGAAAAAAAATAAAAACAAAAATCTTATCGATCATGATCATGATCTAACACTTTTTTCGACGTCTTTCTTCGATGAATAAGTGACTCGAGCCGATATTCTTTTTCTTTTTTAAGAAACACCAATGACCTTGATATATTCGAAGCTAATATATACAGTCTTAAAAGAAGAAAAAAAGAAACGAAAGAATTATTTCTCTCTCTCTCTCTCTCTCTCTCTCTTTCTTTCTCTCTCTCTCTCTCCCTCTCGTGCTTTCTCACACTAGATGCAAATTTTATTTGACGGATGTTTTTATAAAAAATAAAGTTCGATGATATATAAAAAAAAAGAATGATAATTAACGTTCTGCAAATTTGGTTTTTCTAGCATTATTTACATCTTAGAACAATACGTATGTTTTCTCAGAATAGGGGAAGGAAGAGAAAAAAGAAAAAAAGAGAGAGAGAGAGAGGAAGGAAGGAATAAAAATAAAAGTTCGTACACACGATCATCGTTGTACCCATCACGTTTGTTCGACTTTACGCAATAGTAATTCAAACTGTCCTGTCAAGAATGCAACGTATCATTAATTAGAAAGTCGAGCAATGTTAAGAGAACTTGTGAAATTGTAAAAATAGACCACGTATTCTTTGTGTGATATTTTATTTTAATAACACTAATAACACACTCGCAATACGTTACTTTCTAACACGCGACACACAAATTGCACGAACAATTCGAAAGAAATCCAACAACGAAAGTGATTTGTTCGTTCTTTTTTTTCTTCTTCATGTCTTTTTTTTCGAAAATATCTGTAAAAGAGAAATAACAAACAAAGAAATACCGTGGTAAGATACCAGCATTCTACGAAACTTTGATTGGTTGCACTATCATCATCGAACTTCGGACTTATATATTTTTCTTTTTTATTTTCAAATACGTGTATACGTCTGTATGTTTTTCTTTTATTCCAATATAAGAACTCTAACGTCGATTTCTATCAGAAATATTCACAAAAGCACACACACCTACGCTGCCCAATAGTCTTACTTGTACTGGCGCACATATCTATTTTTAAACTAGTCTCGCTTCGTACTCTTCGTACTCAGAATAAATATCTTGTTTGCGAATCTTTCCGCAAACGAATTCCAATATTATCATTGCAAAATAGTGTTCTTTCATGAAAAAATTGACGTATCGGTCATGAAAGTTGTCCAACTAAATGATATTAAATATTTCTTCTTCCATTATTTCGTTCATATGTCTTATTTATACATACATTATCTCCGCACATGATCGATAATAACGAAAAGCAATAAGGTATCAAAAATGTCTTATAAATTTTATCGTATGAAAGAATAAAAAGAAATTATAGAAAAAAGAAAAAAAGAAAAGATGAAAGATGACGTAGAGAAAAAAACAGTGTTAAGGTATAAAAAAAAGGACGAGTTAAAGGAACAATATTATCGATATATAAGGGTAACAACCGATTTTTGCTAAATCAACGGATAAGGAAAGAGATAAGAAGTTAACAATAAAAATTAGCTGAAACTCTCACGGGTAGTCTCTCTCTCTTTGTATCGAAAAGCATTGTCTTCAGTACTTCCCACACGTGAAAGAATAATTCTCCCTCTCCCTCTCTCTCTCTC